TTTTGTTTTCCCAACTTTGTATAAAGAAAAGAAAGCCTTGAAACTAGGAGAGCCAATGATGCCATTTTGTTCAGAAAAACTGTTCTTTCAATCATAAAAGAGGAAGGAAAATAATAACCACCACTCTAAATGAAGCATTACATATCATTTCTTTAAATCAATCATAGTTTTGGTTTTGTTAAATGTAATTCGTTAATATACTTTTTTTTTTTTGAAAGTAATTCGTTAATATACTTATTACATAATATATAATTTTTTTTATATATGTTTGAGGATATCCATAGTTGAGTATGTAATTGAATGTATACATAGCCAATAATTATAATCATCGTATCGAATAGAAAAAACTATACATCCTTAAAATTTATTAATCATTGTAGATTGGTCAAATACAATATTATTTTATTAGTGTATTTAATTTGTTATGTTTGATAATATTTACCTTTGAATATATAATTGGATGTATACATTGATTTGCAATGTTGCAGAAGGTGCTAGACGCTAGTTGGGCGCCTAGCGCCTAAAACGACTAGGTGACAGAGTAATATGAGTATATCGTCTCTATTTTTTTCATTTAGGACTGTGAGTTGTTAGACTATTACAATCACTCAAACTAGTCAACTACAAAACAAACCACTCGGCCGAGTTAGGCGCCCAATTCGACGCCTAGTCGGTCGGTCGATTAAAAGCTGCCTAGGGTTGAAATCGCCTCGACTTAGGGACACCTAACACCTAGACAGTGCCTAGGCCAATTTTTACAACACTTTTTATTTTTAATCAATTGTTATAATGAATGTACCAAGTAGAAAATTTTTTTGCACTTTTAAATTTCATTAATGAAATAATAACATTATTTTATTGATGTATTTTTTTTTTTTTTCTTGTTACAAAGGAAGGGGGACACCCATATATACTATCTATGCCTTCACCAAGGCTCGAACCTAAAACATCCCACATAAAGGGCCAATCAGATACCAGTGGACTACAAGCCACTTAATATTTTATTGATGTATTTAAAGTAGTTGAAAACATCACATTACAAAATATAATACTCCGTACTAATTTGTCCTTAATGGAATACTACAAGTATTTTATTCAAGTCATAAGTACAAATAATATATAGTCATCCTTCTTTCTCATCAGTCATCACTTAATGGATCAATAATGAACCATCATTAGCCATTACCTCTTTGAGTATTTTTTTTTTTTTTTTTTGTGGAATATGATTAAAAAATATATTTTTAATATACTAAAGATACATTATTTATGTACTGAATGCATATTATTTGATAATATATAAAATAATATATATTTAACACTCAAATAATGTACATTTAATACTAGGGCCAGTTTTTGGCTCATGCATAATGCTCACGCAATTTATATCGTGCACCAGGGCGCACGCAAAACGATGTCGTTTTGCTTTTTTTTTTTTTTTTTTGAAAATTATGCTTTTTCGTGTTTGCTGGTAACTTGTTAAAAAAAGAAATTCAAGTTTTGAAAATGTACATAATTGTATATGAGAATACACATAAACTTTTAACTGTTAAAAAAAGTCGCGTGTTTGAATGTATATAACTGTATAAGAAAAGTACATAATTGTATAAAATAATGTACATAATTGTATGCCAGAATGTACATAATTGTATAACATAATGTACATTATTATATAACATAATATACATACACTCTGTCGCGTCGACTCCTCACACAACTTAACGAAACGACGCCGTTTTGGGAGGCGCGGCACACAGTGCTATGTGTACCGTGGTGCAGGATATAACGATTGTAATGCTCAACAACACAAGGTTTCAATTTTAGAAGAACCAATATATATTTTGACCTAACTGTTTAAGAATTTTTTTTTTTTAATAAAAATTCGCAATTAAGTCAATATTTCTATCTTGCCTAAAACCAGTTGTTATACTATGGACCATGGTCCGAAAACGGCGCCGTTTCTTTAAGTAAAGAAACGGCAGTCATTACTTTTTAACAAATCCCGTATTTTTTGTGTGTTCATAACAAAATAAAACTACAGTGTATCTAAAATGAAACCGTCTCGCCTATTGTATTTATATTATCAAATGAAACTATAATTGAATTGAAATGATACTTTAATTGTGTTGAAATGAAATTGCAGTATGTATAAAATGAAACTGAATAACATGTCTCACATATTGATTGTATATTGTCAAATAAAACTGTAGTTGAATAAAAATAATATTTTAGTTTTGCTGAAATGAATTTACAGTATGTATAAAAAGAAACTGAACAACATGTCTCATATATTGAGTGTATATTGTCAAATGGAACTGTAGTTATATCGAAATGATACTGTAGTTGTGTTGTAATGAAACTACAGTGTATATAAAATGAAACTGAATAATAGTTTCACATATTTGAGCGTTTATTGTCCAATGAAACTGTAGTTGAATTAAAATTATAATTTAGTGGTGTTGTAATAAGACTACAGTGCATATAAAATGAAATTCAATAACATGTCTCACTGTAATAAGACTATTGTATGTATAATGTCGAATAAAGCTGTAGTTGAAACAAAATGAAATTGTAGTTGTGCTGAAATAAAATTACAATATATATAAAATGAAACTAAATATGTTATACAAGCAGAGCTAATTACTAGAAAGGGTGCTGTTTCTTTTCATTAAAAGAAACGACACCATTCTGGACCATGGTCAACAGTAAAATTTGCCGTCTAAAACTCATCAGTTTTTTTCTTCTTTCCAAAATCACGCACCATCATTGAAGAGGGCAAGATTCTTTCTTTGGTGGGAGAAAAAAATATTCTTTCATTCTCCATTAATTTTATAACTTTTGATAAGATCTCATTTATTACAAGAATGTGGCCACACAAATTTAAAAGACGGTCATGTTGAATACACAAAGATTATATTGATGAAAATGTTATGCCATTGCAAGTTGGATTAATCAAAATTGCAAGTACAATAAATCCTAATTTAGTGATCAAAGAGACGGCATGCTTGCCCACTTTGTAAGATTGTAATCCTACTCGGAAGATCAAACGGTCTGGAACTTTGGAATTTTGACCTTGTCAGGCAACAACATTCTGCTTTGATTTACTTTTTGGGACTCCCATGACCCATGTTTTTTTTTTTTAAAATAAAAAATGAGGAAAATAGTAACTATTATATGAAAGTATACACTAGATACATCTCTTGCTTAATATCTTATGTGATGAGCGTGACTGAGAAGATATTGATAAGAATCGAACTTGTACGTGAGACTCTCATGTTTTATATTTTGATTCAAGATATTATCTTTTTAGATCAGATTCAATATACAGTAGTCACATTAAATTCAGATCAATTCAAAGTTATACTATTATCAAAAAAGAATTGCACGGGCACTCATAGCTCCTGCTCTAGAGATTTTGGATTTCATTGCTTATACATTGAAAACTTAGTAAAAGAGGTAAATCGTATAATCTGTCTCAAAAGATCTACAAATCTCTAAATACATGTACACTTATGCTCATAACAAAATTAATTTCATACCTCCATCGTATTCAAACTTAAAACTTTATTTAAAGAAAATCTAACTCTTTATTCTCAAGTTATTTCTTTTTTCTTTTTTTTTTTGGGTTGTGGAGTACTTGTATGACTACAGCTTTAGCTTTGTTTCTTGGGATTCTTCCATGTTACTTTGATGAATCCTGACCAAAGATATGCTCCAAAATCAATGATTGGAACATCTAATAACACCTTTAGGATCTGATGCCTCGAAATTTCATGTAATGTCTGAAGCAAAGCTAAGCTATATAAGCTAGTTTGCCAGAAAACAAAAGGAAAGCTGTACCAATATTAAATTCAACATAAAAGATTATACAATGAAGAAAAGAAGCAATAAAGTAAAGAGTGGAGAATTGAAATTAATGCAATTCAACACTTATTTTACGTTACTATTTAGTATTACACATTTACGTAATATCGCCTTCCATAAATTTTCAAGATAACAATATCAAAACTGGATAACTTAAATTTAAAATGTATACACACATCACACCATTTCCACCCCACACTTGTCTGCCACTACATATGATATATGGGGGGTGGGGGAGACAATTAGGATGAATGAAGGATTTAGCAGAGGATAGAGTTTGTGTACACATAATCTGGGGTGTTGTGGAGTGAAAGGGATTCATTCATCCTTAACCAAACGTTAAGAGTTCGATCTTTGGTTTTAGATATAGAATAGCCTTAAATCTCTAGACCAGACCAACTGTCCCACTCATTAGAGATGCTTACAATATTTTTGGTTTTGAATGCCTTAAATCTCCAGGTCAGACCAGCTGTCCCACCCATTAGAGATGCCTACAATATCTTTGGTTTTGAATATTGAATAGCCTTAAGTCTCCATGCCGTATCAGTTGTCCCACCATTCAACGAGAGAATTAGGCACTGTCCGTAAAAATCGTGGGTAAACCCAAAAAAAAAAAAAAAAGTTTGTGTACACAACTCACATGACATGTTGCATATTACCTTCAAATTAAACAACATGATTATTATCATGCCATAGTGGAGGTGCCTAAGACACAAAGCAACCCCACTCCACAGATTTATTCCAAGCAGAGAAATCCCATCAAGAAATGCCAATTTTTGGGGATACTAAGAAAATTCATTCACAGATTTATTCCATCACATATTTTCATCACAAGTAAAGACAAAAGTGGGTTCTGCCAAATAATGATAACATAGGAGAAGATTGTATCCCTAGTTTTGTTTTTATTAGGTGAAGGTAGAATTCATGATACATTGATACCTGGATTTTTAGAAAAATAAAAATCCAAAGAATGGCATAAGAGCATCCTCATCAGCAATACACGCACCCGCTTTGTTGATCTTTTTTTTTTTTTTTTTTTTTTTCAGCGTTAGACCAACACGCTCGTGTAAAATGCATAGCTGATGAGGATGCTCTAATATGTTCATAAATTTCTAGGCATTATCCATCATATCCTCCCATTATTGTGCAATAATAGTAAGTATTTTCCATTCCACCCAAAAAGTAAATTGATACAAAGGATTCCCAGTCTTCTCCATTCTATGAACAGGAAGGATCTTCTTCAATTCCTTAACATGATGATAAGTAGTAGTAGTAGTAGAAAAAAGAACAACATTGGAGATCACTACATCTCCATAATGTCCATGCCCTTAGCTACACAGAGGATTCATTATATTCAACTTTGTGACATCTAAAGATGATAATTAAAATATACCCTTCACCCCGAAAAAAAAAAAAAGAAAAAAATTGCATCTAAGTAGTACAGTAGCTGAGATCTGTTTTTTTTTTTGGTCAGACCACGAGATGTCCTGAGACTGTAGGAGGCACCTTCAAGCCCGTACATAGCTGAAATCAAACTCTGAGCAAGTAAATACTAAGTTCAGGAGCACCATTGCTATCAGGATTCATCATGTAGAATGCCTCTGAGTCTCTTGATCCAACAACTCTCTCAAACTTGGCTCTCATGTACATGATTTCACCACCTTCTTCTCCATTCCCATTCCCATTCCCAGCTGGTAAAACACCAGCACCCATAGAAATGGGCTCCACAGCCTTCAAAATCTCCCATTCTTTGGCCCCGCATTCGCGCCTGGTTGCGAACCCGCATTTCTTTCCATTGCAGTATGTTGTCCACAGAGGGTGATCTATGAGCCTGCTTGCAGCTGCAGCCTTCTTGTCCTTGTCGCATTCGAGGGCGATTCTAACGAGCCCGGACGCCATTTCTCGAACCAGGCCGGTTATGGGGGTGGCTAGCTCAACCAAGAAGACTGGGTGAGAAGTAGGGTCTTTCTGGAATGCAAAGTGGACATGCCCCCTCCTGTGCCCAAAAAGGGTGCCCACAAGCCTTGTTCCCAAGCCATGGAAATGGCCTCTGTTTCTACCAAACCCAATAATCATGGATTTCAGCCTGGACACTGCTATTGCTTGCAGCTTCTTCCTCCTTGCAGAAACTGATGATGATGATGATTCCTCATTCTCTCTCTCTTTCTCTTTCTCTTTCTCTTTCTCTTTCTCTTTCTTCTCTTCTTTCATAGCATCAGTATTATCTGCAGAAGATGATGGGTTGAAGGAAAGATCTTCTTCTTCTTCCTCTGCTATTGCTTCTTCATTACTCACTTTGGCTGTCCAGTGGAACAACTGCTTCTTGGATGACAAGTCTTGGATGCTCTTTGCCATGCTTGTCTTCATCTAAATCAAACAAGGGATAATGGAACTTGCAATCTCTCTTTCTTGGTAGAAGATATTGAGAAATTTTTATACTCTCTCTGTGTGAGCTTGTTCCTTGTATAACGGCAAGTCATGAAACTAATAATGGAATTACTGGGAAGGGAAACATAAACAGCCCCACAAAGTGTCATAGGAATTAGCAGAGAAAAAACAGCAATTTTGAAATAAAGAATGGAATCTCAGGGAGACATGGGATGTGTGATTTCACTTTCTTTCTGGGTGGGGTAGGGGTAGGGAGCTTAGCTTGACTCTTTTTTTTTTTTTTTTTTTTTTTTTTTTTTTTTTTTTTTTTTTTTTTTTTTTGACTTCAATCCAAATACAGTGAAAATTATCAATTTTAAATATAAATTAAAGTGTAAAAAAGAGAAAAATGAAAAAGGTATATATTTGTGTGGAGTAACCTTAAATCTCCGGGTCAGTTGTCCTACCTGAGATGTAATCATTATGATTCACACAGCTGTGTGGACTATATTTTCAAATAATGTACTTTTAATATATTAAAAATGTACTTTTTGTTGGTCCACACAATAATTTGCCTTCTAGATGCGAATAATTCAACTATAACCTAAAAAAAATTCATGATCTATCCCAATATTTACATCAACTTCTGGGAGTAACCCAGTCAAGATATATGGCTAAGGATATAAACTGGTATAACCAACCACAAGGTCACGAGTTCAAATTTCAGTCTTCTTGATTTGAGCCGGTCAATTATGGACAACATAGACCTATTTATCTCGTGGTCACAAAGCGTGAAGGCAGGAATCTACTCAATGCACAACCTCTCGGATAGTGATTGCAGTTTCCCTCGTCACGCAAAAAAAAGAAGACACACATAGAGTGAGAAAGAAGTAAGGGCAGAGAGCAGTCACTATTTACAGTAGACATCCCTTCTGTTTCATTGTCTTCCGGTGATGACATGCACTCCAGACCAGGCGCAGGATAGCATGTCTCTGTCTCTGATTCTCAACATCTATAAAAGATGTATATTGTGCAAGTAAGATTGCAGACTATGTCTGTTTTGATACCCTGTTTGTTCAGATAAGTTAACATCTTGCCGAGATCTCATTTTACGGACACCTCACGCGTGTCACATATACTCTAAAAAAATTGTATGTGAAGCCAGTAGATACCAAACAATTTCTCAGATATCATCCACCAATAATTTGTCCAATTGTCTCTAGACAAAAAAATAAATGATAAATGGAGTCAGTAAAATTTTGGCGTGGGAGTAAGTGGCTAAGGCCTTAAAACAATCTATGTGCTATAAGAATAACCTCAATAGCTCTAGTTTATTGGGATTTTTGACGTGCCAATTAGGAAAGAGGGAGGAGGGCAAGAAAAAAAAAAAGAGAAAAGAAAAAGAAGAAAAAAAAGCTTTAAAATATGAACCCGCTTACTGGGCACGATTTTTGCGCTCCACGCGCAACCATTTGTCTTTGTTTTCCTTTTTATCTCCCTCTTGGCGAGCCCCACAAAAAATCATTCATTGTATAGAAGAAAAATCCAACAAAAAATCACTATCCATATTTGCTAAAAACCAACTTTTTAGTTTTTTACTGCTTCAAAAACAATTAAAAAAAAAAAAAACCTCCATTGGGAATGCTCTAAGGGTTATTGAAAGAAAATGGATACTTTTTTTTTTTTTTTTTTTGTTTTTGGGAAGGGGGTTAGGGGTGGGTGCTTTTGCACTATGGGAACCAAGTAGTGGATCCAAAGCAAATGGGAAATGGCCTTTGCCCTTTAGGCATCTTGAGTAGGACCCTGGAGTGGTAGTAGCCATTCAAGCTTTTATGCAAATTGAAAAAGTTGGGAAACCATTCCAACAATGACCAAATGATTGTCCAGTGACCAACAAAATTCATCATTACTTGCCCCATACTTTTGCATAAAATTGTGATCCACCTCTGGTTTTTTTTTTTTTTTTTTTTTTTTTTTTTTTTTTTTTTGACAGAGGGAAACCCCACAACCCTTTCAAGTGTAAGTAAATCCTGCCTTGTAACCCAAGCCGGTAAAGGACCACAAAGAAGCAAACCAGCCTAGGTTACCCATAACTGACCAGCTCAAACCAACTCATGAGTCGTGTAACCTTATAGTTACAAGTGTGAATCTCTTACCATATTGGCTGGAGTTACCCCTTCTTTACCAAGTTTCTTTTTTTTTTTTTTATGGCTTTTGGTGATTGGGTGGGGAGGCAGGGCCTAGACATGGACCTGATAGGCATCAAATCCCAACATAAAACAACAGTTAGCAGCTCGCAGAATTGGTTCCTGGTGGGTCTTAAGGATCAGCCATTCCAGAAACATGTGCTAGTGCCTTATGCCACCCACCAGTTCATTGCATTCCACTATATGAGAAATATTCGATGCACCATTAGACAAGTTAGCGCAATAATTACTGAAACATATGGACATAATTCATGATACAAATTGAACAAAAGTCCACATAAGACGGCGGGATTAGCCAAGAGCCTTCTGTACATATCAGAAGAGAGAAGATCTAATTGAAATGAGCCAAGAAGTGCTTGCCTAGAGCTCCAGTAGAAGGTCCTAAAGTTAGCTGTTTGTGTTTTGTTCTGGCTCTGATTGTTTTGGAACTGTAATGCCATTATTCATCCTTGCCCGTGCCTCGGCAAACATCCTCTGTTGCGCAGCCAATGCTTCGTCTTCGGTCATTTCAACTACGTTGCTCCATTTCCCGCCCCGAACTGAGTCCTGCTGAAAGCATAGACACCCAACCGTCATAAAAAAAAACTTGTGTACGTAAAATGAGAACAGTGTCTCAAAAGACAGATCAGCACACTATCAGTTTCAAACAATGCACGTAAAGATTAAAATTTCTATGTTTATTCAATTGTCTAGATTTTCCATTAAAGAAAATCAAAGAGGCAACTAGAATAACTACCATGGTTTCAAGTTTGTGTTGTTCATATGCTGCATAAACTTCTTCAATATAATTCCCAAAGCCAAGGACCTGACAGAGTGTGATAAAAGTAAAAAAGGCATAATCAACAAAGTATGGCAGAAAAAAGATCTCAGATGAGCTTAGAAGGTGCCAGAGATAGGGGTGTTAACGAACAAAGCTTTCGGTAAACTACTCGTGTTCGATAAGCGTTCGTTTATGTTTGTTTATTAAGGTAAACGAACATAAATGAACAAATTTTATAGCTCAATTCATAAACGAACAGAGTCTGAATAGTTGTAAACTCGTTTGCTAAGAGCTAGTGAACAAGCTTGTTTGATGTTCATTTAAAAATGTTCACGAACAAGCTCGTTTAGTATTAGTTTAATAATGTTTACGAACAAGCTCGTTTAGTATTCGTTTAATAATGTTTACGAACATGTTCAAGAACAAGTAGTTAAGCCTATATAGATTAGAGATCATATGAGAACCAACCTCCCATGAGTCCATGAGAACCAATCTCATCCATTAAAAAAATAAATCTATGGATGAGATTAATTAGGGTGATTAAAAAGGCGCGTGTGCATTTTAGGCATTATGATGTTTGCATATTAAGCATGTCCCTATGTTGCACACAACACATGCATAATATGCACACATCATAATGCCTAATATGCACACACGCGCGTTTTTAATCGCCACTTAATCTTATCCATAGATCTATTTTTTTAATGGATGAGATTAGTTTTCATGGACTCATGGGGAGGGTGTTCCCATTGGAACGCACCCCTATATATAACAATTTTCTGCCAAGGTGTTAGAGAACAATACACACTTCCACACTGTTGGTGTAAATGAATGACAAACTTGAGAAGAATTAAACTAAAGCAGATTGTTTGATGAAGAATGCCAAGTACATGTGACATTCAACAAGAGGCAGACAGAAAAATGCCACCAGGATGTGCCAAGTAACATTAGCTCAGCATAGCAAGTTAGCTAGGTCATCTTCCATCTATACCACATGATATAAATCAAAGTTGTAAGAACAGTTTAGTATCAGTCAATTACCTCTAGAGCCTTGAGTACATGTTCCGGTGCAATTGTTCGTTTCTCCACTTTATTACAAACTTCATTAGATTCAGATGATATAAGATTGATAAATTCTGTAATAGAAAAACACAACTTAGAACTTTTCTAAAGAATCACAGAAAAAATAATTTATGAAAACTAAAGGAATCATGTCAAACAAATAAAATACTAATTGAAGCGTGCAATTTAAAGGTATCAATATATATATGGCCTTTCCAGCCCCTCGAGAAGGGAAAGCACACACTAATCAGCAGAACAAAAATGAACCAAAGGCTCTTAATAGCTGATACAAAAGCATGATCACCAACAAATATAATACTCAGAGTCTAGAAGGCAATGCAAAATATTTTAGACTTCTCTTGTCAATTTATACTTTACATAAATGGAAATACATTATTGTTTTGTCTGTCCATAAAATATCAGAGAAACACCCATAAGATTTTGAAGAAAGTTCGGGCAAACAAATCTGATGTACAAGATGCTTGCATAAATATCTTTTTGGCTGCTGAAGGCTGAAGCAGACCATATACAAATATCTAAATGCCCACTACTCACCTACACAACACTCAATCAAAAGATCTTGACAATCTCGGGCAACACGAACATCTGGGGGAAGCATCTCTTTAATAATTTTTGTCATAGTTGCTGCACAAGAAACCACAGGAAGCATTAGTAAAGTAATAGAGTAAACCAACATAACAACCAATGAAAGCTAACAATTAAAAGGTATTCACAAGTTTAAAGTATGACACCAAAAGATGACCAATATAATTTTACACCTGTTGTCTATGTCTATCCATAACCAGCCTTGGTTGTAGTCTTATAGAAGTTACAGAGAAGTTGGGTTATCATAACTAGACATAAAGATCAAATATGTTGCAAGTGCAACATTCTAAAAAAAATGAAACTATTTATTTCTAAACTTTAGTCAAATAAACAGTGTCCTCGCCTTTCTAATTATCTAATGTGCCCAAAGTAAATATTCATCTACAACACAAATGTATTTATAAATTATAATTGGAGAAGTGTACAGTATTTAAAGCATATTGGCCCAGTAGGAAACCCTGAAGTTGCAAGCAAAATGTCAATATGCCCACCAAACACAAAGAAAGCATTAATGCCATGGGCCTGCTTAGTTACATAAAATAATTTCTATTCAGTCTCCAATTTTCTCAAAATTTTCAAATTCATTTTTGTTTTCCAATTTATAAAACATGTAGTTATTTGAAATCCAATAACTTTATTCATACAAAAGTACCAATGCAAGTAGTAGATGACAACGGAGTTGAACAATGATGAGCATTAAGTCAGATCAGGCCAAAAATAACATTGAGCTTTATGTTATTTTTGTATATCAGAAATTTTGGATAACCTAAAAGTGTCTATAAACATTGGGTCAAATATAAATTTGAACTTCATGTTATTAAATTTTTTTATCAGGTTCCCATACTTGATTTTGTATTGTCCATGTAATGCATATCCAACCCCTTGTAGACTTGTAGTGCATCGCACGAATCAGACACATCAATCAGCACCAAATAGTGGTAAAAAGATTCATAATGAGAAATGGTGAAAGGGTGCTATAGAAATATAGTTGTTGAATAGTTAGCAATAATAAATATGGTGGTAAGTAAAAGTGGATAACTGTTGTAGATCAACATAAAAAGTAGTGGTCCATAGAACATAGAAGTAAGCAATGGTAGTAATGGTGGTGGTTGGAGGGGAGGGGTTGTGGTGGTTGGGCAGGTAGGTGGAAAATATTGAAAATTAATGATTATTTGTTTTCTAATTTTAAAAATAATTCATTTGGAAAAAAGACTGCTGTCCCTTTACAACTTTGTAGTTACAGGCAAGCTTCTTAATACTATAGCTCCACACTCTAAACAGATTCAGGAAGATATTCTCATTCAGAAAAAGAAAAAAAAAAATGCATCACAGCTCCAGCCGACAGAAAACATGTTTGCAAATTCTGAGTGGTGGTGGTGCTGGATACAAATTATTTGTTTCCTATGAAATACTTGATATTCCCATTTTCGACTTTGATTATCAATGTTGTCATAATTTGTACACCCATTGATTAGACTCCACCAAACACCATAACATTCTGTTCACTCATTGATATACAATTCAATTCAATTCAGTTTTTCATATGAGATTCCTCTCTATCCCTGCCCTCCCTGCTTCAGACATCACTCTCTGGCGGGACATCAATTCCAAAAAACACACTTTGAAAGTTCCAAACAAAGTAACATTATTTTCAGCTTAATTAACCTGTCTATGCATCAATGCTTATTTGAATTTTATTTAATCAGATTAAAACCTCACCAGCCAAGCCACCCAAAAATAATAATAATAGTAATAATAACAACAACAACATTTTTTTTTAAAAAAAACAATGATTGAATCATAAAATGAGAAAAATGGTAGATAACTAGAAAAACAACAAAATTTAAACACAAAATCAAATTCACAGCAAAAGTAAACAAATAAATGAAAACACAAACCTTTGGGAAGCGAAGCATCCTCTTTCGCTCTCCCAACGATGTCCATAGGCTCCATTTTCGAGCTTCAGAGCCAAATCAACTCTGCTTCTCAAAATCAAGGCCATACAGATATATTAATTAGCATAATTATGGATATATAAAACGGTGATAACATAAAGTAAGCTTAGGACACAACTTTAAATCTTTTTTTTTTTTAATAAACGGACGCAGGTAACATATATGTATATGCATATACATTCTTACCTGACGAAGAGGGGCAAATCGGAGGGCAGGGATGAGAATGTGAATTGAGACGCGAATCAGCCGACCGGAGGGGACCGGAAAGGTGACAAAGTAGGCGATGGTGCTTGCAGACGGTGGTGGTTCATGGTGGATATAGAGAGAGAGACAGAGAGAGACAGAGAATGTAGAAGAAGAGTTGCGCAGGTTGCAACTTGCAAGTGCACAAATTGTCCGAAGCTCGTCGAAAGAGGGATTCTCAACGCGCAGAAGGACAGGTGTTAGTCCATTGTCAGAGAGGTGCGGGCCCGAATCGGGCGGTTAACGATTGGGGCGTGAGTAGATGCGTGAGAATTTTGACGATCACCAAATTTTGTTGGGTGATTTTTTTTTAATTTTTTATAATTACTTATTTCAATTTGGCCAGACTAATCCAAATACTCGCATTTAAAGAACTGAAGTAGATCGTGAGTCACGCAATCAGCCTACTAGTCAAATTTTAGTTTTCATGTACACACAAATGATACAATCCAAAAATAATACATTTAATAATTTTCACATATATTTATTTACAATATTCTCATTGGACATTACTATATCATACTCATGCCTGGTTAAAAATCTCACTAGAAAAATTCAGTGTGGAAAAGAGTACAAATATATGTGTATTCATGTTACACTAGATGCCTGGTTAAAAAAAATTCAATTATAATTTCAGCAATTGTCCTCCAACTATTGTGATTTTCCAAAATTGGTCATCATCTTTTAATTTGGACAAAATAGACCCTTGATTATAAGATTTGTTCTAACATTGGTCCTTCTGTTAATCATCAGTTAGATAGGCGTTAATTGAAGGGCTAAAATGGTCATTTCCTCTGAAGGCCCCTCATCGTCTTCTTCCGAGAAATCATCTCCTAATGATTCTGCGAATCACCGGCACATCTATGTTCATGCACGCAATGAGTTGTTTACTAAACCGCCTTCCATCCATCAAAGCTCAACTGGTTTTGCTTCTTCCGATGGCGGCGTGTTCACACAAGCGCTCTGCTTCCCTGCCATTTCTATTGTTTCTTATCAGACCACGATTGAGAATTCTCCAAACCTTTTGCTCACCGAACTAATGGGCTTCGCCATCGCCGTTTCACTCCCAAGTACTTGTGGCGGAGTGACGGGTCTTACAAAATTAACGGTGTTCATAAACGATTTGGCATTCGAGGTCACGACGGTGCACTTCAACGTGAAGGCGGCGTTTAGTGATGACGCGGTGCTCATTCATTATTCCTCCGGTCAGCCCCTCCTTACCAATGAATGGGGACTAACCCTTGCTCCACTTCAAGGCGGCGCTTATTATTACTTAGTTCGCACATAATCTCCGCCCTACAACTGATCATGCCGCCGGCGCCGCCACCAATTTAGAAGATATGAATTGAAGAAGCTGCATGTGAATGATTCATGGAAACTGAAGGATCGGAGCAATGGAATGTTGTTAGGCTCCTAGCTGTTTACGTAGTGTATCTGTAATTTTGTCGTCTCCAATTCATAATTAAATTCTGCTTTTGGAAACTGATCAGAATAAAAAAATCAGTAATTTGGTTTTTTGTTTCTTGGAACATCCTAATTGTAGGTTACCTGTGCACATCTTTTATGTAATGTGTTCATGCCCAGTACTAAATAATAAGCTAGCTCTTTTTTTCCCAAAAAAAAAAAAAAAAAAAAAAAACAAAGAAACAACATAAAAAAAAAAAAAAAAAGAAGAAGAAGCCATTCTTGTTGTAATAAAACATTCAACACCCTAAACACAACCAAAGATTACAACTTTATTTGAGCAAATTAAAACGTACCCGAAATACCAATATCCTAACCGAAAATCAGCCCTCTCATGGCTGCCACAATACAAGTTACAGTCATATATATATATATATAGAGTCAGGTTGCCTGGGTATTCCTTTCCATTACCGGGACCGGGGCCGATTCCTCCTCTAGCTATCTTTTTCTTTTTCTAATTAGCAGCACAGTTTTCCCAGAAAAGGTACAATTGGGGTCTCTGAAACTTGAGAAATAACAAAGAGAGAGAGAGAGAGAATGGAAGAGACTGCAAAGTGCAGAGAAGAAGTAAACAATGCAATAAAGAGATGGTATTGGTTAAGGAATGGGGCGGAGTCGTGGTCGGAGGGGCGATTCAAATCGGAGTTCGCGTTGCTGCTGCTGGAGGGTTTCTTCTCGCGCGAAGAACTTACGCTTGTAACTCCAACTGTAACTTCTAGAGAGATATGGGAGAGGAAATTACATTTGTACCCCTTTTTAACGCATATATAACTGATGGTTAACAGAATGACCAATAATGGAACAAATCTGATGATCAAGGGTTTATTTGTCCAAATTAAAAGACGATGACCAATTTTGGAAAATCACAATAGTCAGAGGACCATTGCTGGAATTAACTTTTAAGAAAAGTATATCAATCTAAATTCTCTTTCTAGTTCCTCTCTAGGGTTTTCGCCATTACTACTAGGGTTTTCTTAGGTTTTCAACAGCAAGGGTTTCTTTCTTACCAGTCAATGACCGGTGTTACGCGTGATGATGATGGAGACGACAACGGCAAGGGTTTCTTTCTTACCAGTCAATGACCGGTGTTACGCGTGATGATGATGGAGACGACATCGGCAGTATGCAGCGTCGGATGGCTGATGATCTGCGGATGGAAAGAATAGACGCTGGTGGAGGGGGACGGCGTCGGATGGCTGGGGTTTTGCGAGGGGAGGATGGGGGCTGATGGAGGGGAACGACATCAGAGTGATGAGCCGATTGTAGACCAGTCGGCGGAGGCAGCGGTTGAGATTGAGGCGCTGTCGAACCGGTGGGCAGACTGGTCGCTGCGGGAGGAGGAGGAGGAGGCAGCGTTTGTGCCGGAGGGGGATGCGGACGCCGACGGTTGTGTGGAGGAGGAAGAAACATGGAGGGTGGTGGGTCGGTTCCTAACGCAAAAAATGGTTAAGCTTGACTTTATGCAATAGGTTTTGGCTTCTGTATGGCAACCGGTACGCGGAGTGCAGGTAACGGAGATCCAGAGAGGTTTATTCTTGTTTGTTTTCTTTCATAAAACAGATATGGAGTATGTCTTGAATGGTGGTCCATGGACGTTTGAGAACAATGCTCTAATATGCCGCGAGGTTATGGATAGGGTGAACCCGGCGGATGTGAAGCTTGATACGATTGATATGTGGATACAACTGCATGATATGCCGAAAGGGTATACAACTCAGGTGATTCTAGAACAGGCTGGGAATTTTCTGGGCACTTTTGTTAAGCATGATGATCAGTTTGAGGGGGCACCATGGCTGACCTTTCATCGTATTAGAGTATCGGTACCCATTGATAGGCTACTCAGGAGAAGGATGAAGTTGATGAAAAGGGACGGAACCACGGCATGGGATAATTTCAGGTATGAGCGGTTGCATAAGTTTTGCTATTTCTGTGGTTTTATGGGACATTTGCACACTTTCAGTCTGCGAGCTAGGGAAGCAGGAATCCCGTTGGAAAGGTACCCGTATGAGCCGGATATGCGAGCTGGTGGATCTCGCTCCTAGAGCGGTTGGGGATAGCTGGCTCGTGCCGGTTGGCTGGAAACCACGTCCAATGGAAATTATGGCATTGGTGGGCGAAAGTGTGGAAGATGGTGCGGTTGGGGTGAGTGGGTTGCGGCCTGGTGGTTTGTCGGAGGAGGAGATACTGGTGGCTTCGGCGAAACGCCGGAGGCAGGGAATGGGAGGCGAAGATGGGGAAAGGGGAGGTGATGTTACAATGACCGATAATTCAAAAAACTTGCCTATGGCGCCTCCTCATGAGTACGTTAAGCTGGAACTGTCGTGGCTTGGGCAATCCACGCACAGTTCGACAGGTGGAGGACTTTGTGTCCCGTAAGAAGCCCGAGTTTGTATTTTTGATGGAAACCAAGGTGGGACGGATACAGGCGGAGCGGGTCCGTGTCAGGCTTGGGTACGATGGCTTGTTCTATGTGAATAATGAAGGGTTAAGTGGGGGCATGGCTCTCTTCTGGAAGAAAAATAACATTGTCAGATTGTTATGTTACTCGCAAAACCATATTGATGTGGAGGTCAGTTTTTCAAGTAAGATTTGGCGCATGGCATGCTTTTACGGTTGTCCAAACCGGAATAGAAGGGACGAAACCTGGGACCTGCTTGTTAGGTTGAGAGATAGATCTGCGTTGCCATGGGTGGTGATTGGGGATCTTAATAATCTCCTTTATCAGCATATGAAAAAAGGGGGGAACCCGTACCCTAATAGTCTGCTGCGGGGGTTTGGGGAGGCCGTAGATAGTTGTGGTCTGATGCAGATGCCGATGAGAGGTCGTCAATTTACATGGGATAAAGGAAAAGGCACACTGAATTGGATACATGAAAGACTTGATAAGGTCTTGGTTACGGATGGCTGGGGAGATATGAATGAAAATGCATGGGTGGAGAATTTACAGACTCGAGCTTCGGACCATTCGACGCTTTTCCTTAGCATTAATGCAATTTACACGCGCAGGGGAAGGGGGCCGAGGAAGTTCAGGTTTAAGATGGCTTGGTTGTTGGATGAGGGCTGTAAGGAGGTGGTTGAGACAACCTGGCAGGAGGGGATGCCGGAGGGTTTAATACACTGTCAGAATTATTGTGGTATGAAGTTAATGCGGTGGGGAGGGGACCAATTCCATAAATTTGGTGATCGAATTGGACAGTTGCGGAGGAAGCAGGAGAATTTTCGTAACACACGTGATCCGGCAGCCCTAGCCGAGTAGCTGGTTGAGAATCAGCTTAAACAGTTGGAGGCCCTCCCAAGAGGATGTGTTTTGGAGACAACGGGCAAAGCAACACTGGCTGCGTGGTGCGGACGCCAACACTAAGTTCTATCACAGGTATGCCTCTGCGCGTAGAAAAAAGAACTATATTGCTAGTATAAAGAATGATATTGGTGATTGGGTTGAGGGTGGTGGTATGCATGCGGCGATTTTAAGCTATTTTACGGGTATTTTTGCTTCTAATAATTTATGTTGTGATGATCCCCTTTTTGATGATTTTGCTCCCCGTGTGTCTGATGAGCAAAATGTGATGTTGGATCGCCGGTTCAATGGGGACGAGGTAAAAACAACTCTTTTCTCAATGTTCCCGGATAAAGCACCGGACCCGGATGAAATGAATCCGGGCTTTTATCAGCACTTTTGGTCAGTAGTTGGGGATGATGTGACTCGGTTTATAACGCATGCGTTAAACTCAGGTGAGTTCCCCGAGGGATTAAATGATACCAACATAATTTTGATTCCCAAAAAAGAAGTACCCGAAACAGTTGCGGATTTAAGACTGATTGCTATAAGTAATGTCATATATAGAATTATGGCTAAGATGTTGGCTAATAGAATGAAAACACTTATAGGTGATCTCATCTCAAAGTCCCAAAGTGCTTTTATTCCGGGCAGGCTAATAACGGATAACATCTTGGTGGCGGCAGAGGTGAGACATTACTTAAACAGGAAACAATGTGGTGCTGTGGGCTGGAGTGCATTGAAATTAGACATGTCAAAAGCTTATGACAGGATGGAGTGGACGTTCCTGGAGAGAATGTTGGTTGTTTTAGGTTTTAGTGAGAGGTGGGTTTGGCTTATTATGCTATGTGTGACAACGGTGAATTATACTGTGATGGTGAATGGTGAAGTAGGGGGGCGAGTCAAACCGACTCGTGGACTAAGACAGGGGGATCCTCTCTCCCCTTATTTATTCATTATCTGTGCTGAGGCGCTTTCGATGTTGTTACAAAAGGAATAGGTCACAGGATCAATACATGGGTGTAGAGTCGCCAGGGGGGCACCTCCAGTATCACATCTGTTTTTTGCAGATGATAGCTTGTTTTTTTTCAAAGCAATACTCAGGAAGCTAGTGTCATCAAGCAATGTTTGGTAAGGTATGAGAAGTTATCTGGGCAGGTGGTAAACTATAATAAATCCAATATATACTTTAGCAGGAATACTGAAGGAGTGGATAGAATGCAAGTTGCAGGGTACCTGGAGGTTGAGCAGACAGATAACTTTGGAAAGTACCTTAGCCTGCCATCTTTTGTGGGCAGAAATAAGAGAGTTGTTTTTTCTTTGTGGAGGAAAAAATCAGGCAAAGGATTGGATCATGGAGTAAAAAGGTGTTATCTCAGGCGGGTAAGGAGGTGTTATTGAAAAGTGTAGCGCAATCTATGCCTACGTTTTCAATGAGTGTCTTTTTATTGCCTGAAACAGTTTGCCAGTCCATTGAGCGAACCATGAATAAATTCTGGTGGGGAAGTGGAAGAGACAGGGGAATACATTGGAAGGCATGGGATAGA